GAATGATGTATAACATTTAGGACATAACGCCACCATGTTATCACCTTGTTTCTCAATTGCTAAACCCAATAATTTTTTCTCATGTGCTTTTTCTTCAGCTTTATTCTTTAATTTAGGTTTAAATTTCTCATCAAAACAAAAGAAATCAAAAGGTGCGAATTTGAAAATGTTTTTATCATAAAATTGTTTATAGGTAACAATTGCTTGAAATGCTTGAGTGTTAGGAAGATTTGGGTCGCCAGCGATTGCCCAATAAGATGAATCAGTATCACCTTCAATGAAATGAAAACGATTAAGATTCATGCATTTATACATAAAATCATAAATGAAAACCAAATACCAGTATTTAGCATTATCTAAAGTGAAGAATGCCTCTTGTAAACATGTATCACATCTATAAAATCTATCTTTGAGCATCACTTGATACGTATCTTCACCTATTTCTCTTATGTTTTTAAACTTATTTGACATACATGCAACGCGTGCCTTCTGTGCATTCATTATTTTAGTCTTTGCGTAATTTTGTGTATTCATTGCATCGTAACCATATGATCCATTAAGCGAAATATTGCAAAATAAACTTTTTCCTTTATTTCCTTCTAATTCAGCCTTTTGTCTTTCGTTCATAAATTTGTTCGCAAATTCATTAAAACAAGTGTTTTTCGTAAATGTTAAAATTGATTGAATATCATCGATGATAAAATGAAATCTGTCTATTAGATACCAAAGATAATAAGAAGAAAATGGTTGATATTGGTTGTGTGTTGATGCTAACTGAGTTAATTTCCTCTGTTTCTGGTCAACTGGTAGATTGTTTGATTTCATGTAATTATACATAAAACTGCCAATTGTTTTTTCATCTGTGATAATATCTAAGTTTCTTATTATCGGTAAAAAGTTTATGTAATCATTAATGTATTTTTCATCAATGTGACCCTTTACTTCAGCCACGAATAAAGTATTTTTCTTCTTAATAATTCCCAGTGCTTTTGCTTTCTTTGTTGCTGTATCACAAATGATAACACCATTCAATCTTCCCGGCATATACATTTTATGGTCAGTATATTGAATGAAATCATGAGGATTAGATGAAAATGATGAAGGATATAATGAATTAAAGTCAACTCCAACGAAATGAGTCATAATGTTGGTGGTGTCCTCATTTGATACAGTTTTAGTTTCTGGATTATATGAAAGTTTATTAATGTGCGTGATTCCTTTAAGATTAACACGATGTTGAACATTTGATAGACCACCAGTAATTCCATTACGGAGAATGTGATAAGCTTCAACTGAATCTAAAGTCATTGGTAAATTATTTTTTAATGCATAATTTCTTAAATTGATTCTTAAACGTTGAACATCTTCATCTTTATTTGATTTTACGACATTGCAATAACAACACATTAACTGACAATTTTCTTTAGTATGTGGTTTTTCATTATCGATTCTATCCAATGTTGGTTTATTTGCATATGTAAACGCTTTACCACACATTTTGCATTTAGATGAAAGGATTAAATCGTGATAGTATTGAAAATCATCCATTGAAACATTATTTTTAATATCTCTTTCTGCTTTTTCATCTTGTTTCTTATATGATTCAATTTTATATTTCCAATACTTTTTCGTTAATTCAAAACTTGATTCTATCTCTTCCTCAGGATATTTTTCATTAGGATTAAAGTCTTTATATGCTAAAGCGTAACGAATCATTGAAGCATTCGATGATAAAGAAAGATTATGAAGCGTGTCAATTTTATAAACAAATGTTTCTTCAATAATTTTATCAATTGGGTCAATCATAATTTCAACATCTTTATTGCAATAATGAATAAAATATTCTAATCTATTCTTAAAGTTTTTAGCATCATTGAGATATATTTGATAATCACTATCTGATATAGTTTCTTGAGTTAATGCCGAATAAAATGAATCTTTCGTGAATGGTTCCTCTTTATATAATTCTTCTTCGTAATTTTCCCACGTGATGAATTGATAAGGGAAAAAGGATTTAACACGTGATTTATTGTTTCCGAAATCTTGAGTGAATTGGTCTAATGTCCCACCCGCTATATAATTTCTGATGTCAATAAATCTCAATTCATATGGAACGTTTGTTTTCTTTACAATGATTTGCTTAAATTGTGAAGATGAACCCAGCATTGATTTTATTTTCCATTTTGCAGTGTTTAAATCACGAAGAATTAAATTTAAATCAAACTTTCCCGAATTAAAACCTATGATATTCACTTTATTGAATTCCTCATCTAGAAGTTCTTTAAATGCTTCCTTCTGTTTTTCATTTAATGTATGAGACAAAGTCCCCACCGTTTGGTCTGTTTGCGGCTTCAATAATTCTTCATATTGTTCAATATTTGATTTAGCAACTAATGAACAGGTTGAAGATAAAAACTCAATCCAATCAGAAATAAAAGAATCACTCGAAGTTAAGCAAAAATTCCTCGTATATGTTTTATCGTTTAATTTAACCGTTGATGATACCATGAATGGTTTTAAGTAAGCATTCAAAGTTGCACACTCAGAAAGTTGTAATTCTTCTTTAGTCTCTAATGTTTCAAAGTCAAAAGTAATATAATATCTTGTCGGCTTATAATATTTCTGCAAATTGTGAGCTAATAACCACTGATATATCTTCTGTTTCGTAATATGTGGTGCATATGGTTGCTGGGTCTTTTGCAATTGAACGTCTTGAATTAATCTCCCATTATTTTCTTTACATTTCTCACAATGCTTTAAAAATCTTCTTTGGTTTTTCCTTTCTGGATCATCACGGATAGAATAAACTTCTTCTTTACAATATGGACAAACTCTATAGCCAGTGAGTGCTTCAACGTCTGTTATTCTGTCAGCGTGAAGTTTTCCACATGGACTCTGTGTTAATAAAATATTTATTGTTTCAAATTCTGGATCTATCATTATTGAATCCACTAATGGAAAGTCTACCTTATTTATGTCCACGTCTTCTGGTTGAGGATCACAATAATAGAAATCAATATTAACATTTAACATTCTCGCTAATCTCTCACTTTCTGATGAAATGTCAAACCCTTCATATGAATCTATTGCTTCATTTAAATAACTTCTACGAGTTTTAGGATTAACACCATCAGGAATGTTATAGAAGCGTTTAAATAACCTTCTACCTTCTGCTCTAATTTGATTATCATTCATTTTAGGTTCTGTTTTTGTTCATTATGTAAGAATAAAAATTAAAATAAATAAAAATTAAGTTTATTTTTTAAAGCCCATAAAATGAATTAAGAACACATAAATTTTTATCATCTGCGACGTGACGAATACATTTTAATTTACTCAAGAATGCGTACCCTGATACATTAAATCTAATTCCTGTCTTATTTAATTTCACAACTTTGAAAAGGAATGTATGAATAGCTATAAAATGATGAGAAGATGTTTTATGGGTTGCTTCCATTTTTTCTGAAATAAATGAATAAATATAATGTTATAAGTTTTCATATCTTTTATGTTCTTAATAACGAATGGTATAGACCTTTCAACTTCGTCTTCCTTCGGTGCTGTTCTTTCATATGAAACATTATTGGTATCTTCAATAATGAAACCACAATCACACAAAATTTTATATGTTCCAATGGTTTCTTTTGATATTTTATCTAATAAATCAAAAACTTTATCAACACCTGTGCATTTATTTAAATAATAATTTGTGTAAATATCATGATCTTCTTTCTTAATCGTATTAGTTGCATATGTCACGTTTTTAAGAGCTTTTTTGAATTTTTCGGAATCTAAAGGTGGTGAAAGTAAGATACAGGGTATTCTTCATTATCAATAAATTGTAACTTATGTTTACGAATAAATTTAGTACCTTCTTCTGAAAGTGTTTCGTCTATTTCACCATCTAATAAATTTTGTGTTGATTCTGAGACATAATTTTTATATCTTTCTTCATGAGATTTCTGAACTTCTGATTCCGAAGCTGGGATATTCATTAAATCCTCTACTTCATTTTCATTATATTTTTCAACTTCTCTTAATTCCTTAATTTTTTCATCTATTTCATCTCTTATTTTTTCCAGTCTTTCAATTTCATCGTATTCATCATCTTTAATCCGTTCTTCATAATATTCAGGGAAAACATCAGGTTCTTTAGGTTTTTCTTCTTCAGATGTGGGATATAAGAAATTTATAACATCATCTTTATTCATTTTTCCATCATAATCTAAATCATTTAATAACTCGGCAAATTTTTGACAATTTCTTAAATAATATTTACTAACTTCATAACACATCTCATCTAATATATCCTTTATTTCCTCGTTTGTGAATCCTAATTTTTTAACGTTGTTAGTTTTGACGCTCATTTCATACGAATTAAAAATAAATTATTCAAAAATGTAAGACATGAATTTTTAAAGTTTATTTTTTTATTTTTTTATTTTTTTATTTTTTATTTCATTATGTATGGGCTGAGTGTAAATGTCTTACATTTTAAAAATTTTTTAAATCTTGATTTTTAAATTGAAGTTTAACCCATTCAGGATTTAAACAATTCTATAATATTGCTTCCCTTTAAATCTTTGAATATAAACAGGAACACCATCCTCTAAAATTCGATAATCTATTTTATCTGGTTTTACTTGTTGGGTCATTTATGTAAGAATAAAAAAATAAATTATTTTAAAATTAATATGTTAAAAAAATGATACAAAATCGCTCGATATTGTATGAATTCTTACGTTTACAAAAAAAGTCACAAAGCCCATCCTATCCTACTACTTATTTTATTGTTTTTTAGTTTTTGATCATTTCTTATTGGTCTATAGAGAATACTAACAACAATCAAAATCACCAATAGATTAGCTTCAATAATTTATTGGAATTTGTTACATAATAATTCTAACTAATTTACAGGATAGAAAGTCTGAAGTAATAATACATTCAGATGTTGTATATCAAGACTTACTTTAAAACAATAAAAATTTTATCAATTAAATTTAGTCAAAAACAGGATCATTTTCAACAATTGTTAATGGAGGTAAAGTCTTCTCTTTAACAAAACATAAGTGATGCCCATCTGAATAGAAGAAAGGTTCCCCGGTTATTGGATGATAAACCAAAATTTCATCTCTCAAACGGAAACATTTGGCGAATGCTTCGATGTCTTTAATAATGGCCTTATCTGCACCTTCCAGTTTGGCATATCTGTGCAAGATTCCTCCAAAAAGAAATCCAAACGCATTGAATGTATCCTTCGGGAGTACATCATCCGCAACATTGATCTGGTTAATAATCATCTTGATCAAAAGACTTCCTAATGTTTTGATGTCATCATCATCTAACTTAGCAAATTTGTTGTAGTATAAAAAGTCATGAAGAACATATATACCATAGCCTCTGAATTCCATTTTCTCTTCTTCACGGCTTAGAGGTTCTGTTTGTTCAGGGAAATGAGACTTAATATATTTCAGTAACCTGCATTCAGGATCGAACGAAAAGAAACGACCTCCTGAAAAGTCAGTTATCCATTCTGGAAGATTTGGCAATTTACTTTTTTATTTGAATTCTTCGAGCTTCTTTGGTTTTATCTCTTCTATTGTTGAATGATGGCCTTTAATGAAGCAACTGATTATCATAGAAATCCAATGAAAAAACAATACAAATGCATTCAATAACTTCATTATATTAAATTGTCAAAACCGATGAAAAATTTTAAATTGATTTCACAAACGTTTTCATGAATAGTATATTATCTATATTGATAATATATTCAATTGAAAATTTGAGTTCAGAGACCTAAAAAAGACGATAGCAATCAAAATAATCAACAACGAGAACTCAAAGATCGTTAAAACGGCAGATGAAGGATTCCAATACAACGCAATTGTTGGACTTGCTGCTACATTAGATTCTGTTCAATCTCTAATAGTTTAATTTTATCACTTTTTTTACAATTTCTTTTAAACAATTAACATTATTACAATATATTCCTATGTGCATATAGATTGATTAAGAACAATTATGCCTAATCCCAGCAACCCAACATAATTTATATAGATATTCCTGATTTATTAAAAATGTGATATGTAGGATGGTTGAATAGTTGTTATTATGACTCTTAATCATTAGAAATGGAGTTGTTATTAAATCAAAATTGATAATTGGAGGTAGAACTAACATTTGGAAGATAGGATTTCCACATAATTTTTTGTCGAGTAAAGTGTCAAAAAGATATTTTATGTTACCAATTTTAATTGTTACTATTTTATCCGCTGATCAACATGAAGAGTTACACAAGCAATTAGATTCAATTGAAAAGCAGTTATCTGTTATTGAAAAGCTTCAAATTGAATTAAATGCGGCAAAAGTTCTTAAAGATCCCACATCTGGAAGTAAGTATGGCACTGAAAAGAAAGACATTTATCTATCAGGTATTGATACTCAGAGAACCGTAGAATATAATAACCATCGAAAAGGATTATCTTCATCAATTGATGAAGATTCTTTTATAATAAAATCAAGAGCTCCAATTCTTCATTTCAAAGCAAGAACTCCTACATTTGCAAGTGAAATAAAAGTGAGCTTTAAAAAACAGTGTGACTGTAATATTAGGCAAGCAATATTCACTTTTATCAATCAATCAGAAATAAAATATAGAACGAATGTAATTGACTTTGATAATAAATGCGGATTGTCAAATGTGATAAATTTAAACACGGAAGTTGCTTTTACAGATATTGAAGTTGATATCCCATTAAACTGGGGCTCTGATCAAACATGTTTACCAGATATTATTGTCAAAGGTCCTATACACAAAATTTAATTTTGTTTCTCGTTGACACTTTTACGTTTGTTATCCAATAAAATGTGTATTTATTTCATTCTATATGGAATCTCATGTTTTTATTTATTAAATTCTTCATAATTGAATGAGTTCAATTACTTTTTTTAGCTTTCATATCTCTTAATCATAGAACTAAAAAATTTATCAGCATGAAATATTACACGTCAATCAATGAACGTTATTTTTTAGATTTAATATGAACACAATTTTTATAAGTGCGATCCATAGGGAGTATCAGCAACAAACAAAGTCTATGCATCATATTCATAATATAGCAGCTATGATTATATATGAAATGATGAACAAATGAGAGATTTTGATGAAAAAGAAACACCAAAAAGTGACAATTCTAGATGAATTTATCCTCTTATTTAGAGGATAGAGATTTATTTATGACAGAGTTCAGATCGAGCAAATCACTATCATACGGATTTAAAGCGCGTACAAAATTAGAAGGCCACAAAGGATGCATAAATACATGTCAATTTGACAATCCAGGCAAAAGATTACTGACAGGATGCGACGATGGCAGTGTGTGGATGTGGGAACCAGGGAGAACAGTAAAAGAACCAGTAGTTAGAACACGTCCTCACTACACAAATGTTTTTGGTGCTTCATTCTTAACAGATGATACATTTGTATCGGGTTCAAATGATGCAGAAGTATGCGTTACAAAAATAAATAACGATGGAACAACAACTACCACAAGATTTTCAGCACATCATGTTCAAAAAATTACAGCTGTTCAGCCAATTGATAGCACAACGTTTTTAAGCACATCGTATGACGGAACACTCAGATTGTTCGATACTAGATTAGATTATAACGGAATTGTCGAAACAAAACCAATATTAACAGAAAAAGACTATCAATACGAAAGCTACGAGTTCCTTGTAAGCAATTTGGATAGACTTAACTTAGAACCACAAGGTGCCGGCGGTGGACCAATACAAAAACCTGCCAGTGACAATAGAACTTTGATGTCAAGTTTTCCTGCTCCTCTTTACTCCATTTCAGTACACCCTTACGACAGACATACAATAGCCATGGGATGTGGCGATACATGCATAAGATTCGTTGATTTAAGGAATAATTCAAAATCAATAAAATTTTCAATGCGTCATGAATACAAACGAAACGCTCCAGTGACAGGAGCTACATATGATTCAACAGGAAATAGGATCGCTGCGACTGTTCGTTATGGAGTTGCTCATATCATTGATATCCAAGCGAAAACTGCACTTTGTTTGACTTCTCATCGTAGTATTTCGACAGATAAATACATAAACTGGCTTGGAGAATGGGTTGTTTCCGGAAGTGATGATGGAAAAGTTTATATTTACGATCCAACTGACGGAAAAGTCGTAGGAGGTGATTGTGGAGTCGAGAGAATGCACAAAGGCAATACAAATATTGTTGCAGTGCATCAACAATCCCTTCAACTCGCTACAAGTGGTGTTGATTATTATATCACATTATGGGGACCTACAACATTAACAGATTACCATGAAAAAGAGTTTGTCATGCAAGATGACCCAGCAAGTCGACTATTTCCTAATTTCTTATATTAATTTTATTGAGTTTAATAAAATTCTTTTGTTTATTTATGTTTGATGTTAAAAATTCGCATTTTTTCTCAATGGAATCATGTATTCAGTCATTTTTTATAAAAACAAAATTTCAGATTTGATTTTTAGTTTTCCTTGCACTTACAAAAGCATAAGTTTGGCAGCAATTTTACTTCCAATTCCTATCCTATTGCTTTCACGAATTTGTAAGCGAATTCCCCAGCTTTCGAATCCAAATTCTTATTCCAATGAAATCAGATACGTATTTCCTCAATTAGTAATAAAGCAAGATCTACCATACAATACAAGTGTACACATAATTCGAGGATTATATCAAGACTTTTCTATCTATTCACCTGAATATATTGGAAATGCAACTACAGCAGATTTATTTACCCTTGCCTTTGCAACTATCTACTATGCAACATATGAGAATGTTATTTGCAGAACAGATCTTTCATTTTATTCTAACAACTCAATATACATGCAAAACGTTAATTGTAGGACAAGATTTTATAATTACTCATCAAAAGAACACCCATATATAGATATTAAATATAATAGTTATGATAACGTAATTTGTATTGGCCACCAACACTCATCAGACTTTGGCCACTGGATGATAGAAACATTTCCACTCATGTGGTATATACCCAAGAGTGTTTTGAACCAAAGCGTCATTGCGATTCCGAGAATATCTCAATTTGTTGTTGATTGTTTAAGTATTCTTGGCGTTAAGAAGTCAAGCATCATATATGGTGATGACCTTTATTTCCATGCTAAAAAACTCCATACAGTTACTGCTCCATATTGCGATTATATTTCATATCAAGCAATCCTTAATCATAGAAAAAACATAGTGAACTCTCTTTCATTAGATAAGGTTAAGCCATCTCGCCTAGTGTTTTTTAATAGAAAAAGAGGGATGTCGAGATATCTTGCAAACATTGAAATGTTAATAGAAGAAGCATCACGCAAGTACACGAACTCAACATTTGAATTAGGAATATTTTATGACAGAATCGTGGATCAGATAAAATATTTCAATGAAATTAAATTATTAATGGCTGTTCATGGATCTCTTATGGCAAATTTGATATTTATGCAGCCTGAAACTTATGTTATTGAAATTCAAATGGAACATATCTTTTTCTGCTTCTTGAGAACAGCAATCTTTACTGGAAAAAAGGTTACTGTAGTACGGGATCAGTCAATATCATATAGGTCTATCCAGGATAATATGGTGAATATAAGCATGGCCATGTCTGCCTTAGATATAGTAATGAAAAATATGTTGGGTACAAATACATTTAAGAGGATTAATTTTGATGATGACTAACAAGCTCATTGCTTGACCCTTCAAAAAAGAGAGTTATTAACAACAATTGATTAATCATCATCTAATTGAAGCTAAGAGAGTCAACCATAGAGCCTAGACATTAACAAATCAGAATTCATTTATAAGGACAAGAAATACATCGAATTCTTGCGAACAATTTATGGATTTTTACATCTTCTACAGGATTATTTTATAATCTTATATCATAAACAATATATATTTTAGTTTATCTTCTAATGATGGAATAAACATTGTCATATAAGTCGCCGCATCAAATTTGTAATTTTAATTATTCATATAATTTAAATTCAGAATAAATTATGCCAACGTTTTAACACAGATTTTTACTGGCCTAAGAAATGGAATTTTATTTGGTGGTATTTTTAATTGTTTGGTGAATCTATCCAATGGCACATTTGATAGAGGCAAAACCTTTATCTTTTAGCATACATTCTTATAATTTTCTCATTGAATATCAATAATAGAGTGATTCTTGATTATTCCTTATATTTAGAAAAATATCTTAATAAACATATGTTCTCTCAACACGAATATAAATTGTGAATGAAATTTGATAGACTCTATGCTTTAATACGTATTAAAAAGAAAAAAATATTTAGTATAGAGTAGGTATTCATGGGTACTTGAAAAAGGGAGTGAAAGACAAACAGTAAAATGTGGTGAAAATGTGAATGGGATTAAAATTGAATGAGATCATTGACTTCATAAGGATGATTTGTTTGTGGTGTATTTGTTGAGATATCCACTGTAAACTTGCTGGGAAGCTTGGTTTTTTGAATCGGGACAAAGTCACTCTTTGGTTCATTCAAGATTTTGATGAAATCGCCATTAGAATGTACGGTCGGTACTTCGGGCTCGTTATTTTCTGGTCGAAATTGAACAACAGTTCCACTCCTTTGAGAGCGACTGATCTTAAATTGAATATTCGATTTGGACGTAGTAGTTTTATCGATTACAAATTTGTTGTTTTGACCATCATCTGGGGGCATCATGTGGACACCAGCAAATATTCTGACATCAAAAGAAAGTCTTCTATTAGCAAAACGCCCTTTACCGTCTTTTTCAGTGTTTTTGGATATATTAAAGTCGGAAGCTGGAACGTTTTCTGTGGAATGAACAATGCTTGCTGATGGAATGATCCTTTCCATATTGCGACTAGATGGCGGTTCAATACATTCGCAAATCGACATTGCAGAATTTTATGAAAAAATAAATCTTTTGTAAACATTTGAAAAATAATTGAAACGCATGAATAATTTCATCAATTTGAAGCCCTTTTAATACATATATAAAGACTATTCACTATTTCAAAAAAATCAGAATTGAAAAGTGCGCAGTTTTTTCTGTCAAATTTTTAAGGAAATAATGGGGAGAAGCTTCCTAAACTTTTTAATCCCATAAATATGGTCATTATCTGGAATAAAGAGTTAAGCGTCATATGTCACTTTTTGTACTAAGGAAACATCGACTTTATGCGTTATGACTTTTCGATGAGGAAACAAGTGTTCACGTATTATAAACTTCCTTATTCCAATAAACCGGCCCTAAACATAATTAATTTTAAGCATTATAATGGTCTCTTTTCTATGATAACCAAATCAATTTGGTTATCATAGAAAAGCACCAAAAACTGGAATAGGAATAGCCGCGTTAAAACAGGAATAGGCAATATGGAAACAAGGGTAGACTCAAACTCATACTCAAGGCAAGACTGATACAAGAATTACAACAAAATTTTACAAAATCTATTATTTATCTCAATTTAATGGCAGGTTTTAGTACCCGAAGAGTTTGCATTCTACTTTTTGCTCTTATTTTACAAAAATATTCTAAAAATTTGTAACTTCTTTTATAATATAATACTTTTTTTCAAATTTACTTTCCAAACGTTAATGTCTTGTTACGGCTATATCTTTGTACGGGGAAATAAAGAAATTTTATTATGCTATTATATTATTTTTTTTAAATCAATATCTAATCAATAGTAAGTTAGATTTTTTATTAAAAGAGCAAATAAAGATACGATCGAGCAATAGTTTATTTTAAATCTCAATATTATAAAATAAATGTTCAAAATTTTTAAGTAATAATACTAAATACTTAAATAAGTAAAAGCACACAAGAAAAATATTCACTAACTAGGTCAGGTAGGCGGGGCTTCCAGGCGCGTTGCGCCCTCTAGCCCATAAGAAATTTTGCCCAAGACCCAAGAGGAGGACCGAACCCCAGCCGACCAGCCGGTGACAAAACTGTAATAAACAGAAATTCATCAAAAGTGACAGCTCTCAATTTTTTGACATTTGTAAATTCTAAATTGAATGAGAAAAATGAAATAATACTAAGCATAATACAATATTCTAGATTTAATTATAATTAGGAAAAAGTTAGTTTTGAGAGTACTTTTCATAGGCATATAGAATGAAATCTTCTGAAAAATAATATCACACAAACTCATATTATTTTCTAATATATAACTATTTTATATAAAAATCAAATTCAATGATCTTAAAAGCGAAGGATAAACCTCAAAATTTACGAATATAATGAGTGGGAATATAATGCTTATCTATCATAAAACCATATGAAATATTAATTTTTGCTTTACGCCTAATTTTTGACGACAATTAGCAAAAATGTTAAATGTGAACACTCAGTCCATTTGAATATGAAAAATAAAATTGACTTTGATTAAATGTTTTTATTTATCATGCAATTCTTCTTGCGACCAAAGTTTTGAATAAAATTTCAAAAAATAAGATAGCTTAAAAAATAATATACGGTAGTGTTTACTAATAGATGAATAGTATATAAATTCTATTAAAATGGATTTGATCCAAAAAAATATATAAAATTTGATCATAAATAAAATCGTTTTAAATTACTTCTTCATTTAAATTATAACAATTATTTTTGGTTTTATATTTTTTTGGATCAAATCCATTTTAATAGAATTTATATACTATTCATCTATTAGTAAACACTACCGTATATTATTTTTTAAGCTATCTTATTTTTTTGAAATTTTATTCAAAACTTTGGTCGCAAGAAGAATTGCATGATAAATAAAAACATTTAATCAAAGTCAATTTTATTTTTCATATTCAAATGGACTGAGTGTTAACATTTAACATTTTTTGCTAATTGTCGTCAAAAATTAGGCGTAAAGCAAAAATTAATATTTCATATGGTTTTATGATAGATAAGCATTATATTCCCACTCATTATATTCGTAAATTTTGAGGTTTATCCTTCGCTTTTAAGATCATTAAATTTGATTTTTATATAAAATAGTTATATATTAGAAAATAATATGAGTTTGTGTGATATTATTTTTCAGAAGATTTTGTGTTCTTCTTCAAAATTTTGTTTTTTATTAAAAAGAATCTTTACAAAATATACATTTACTTTAATTAATATTTAAAAACGTGCTCTATCAAAAGTTCCAAAAATTCAATATTTTAGCTTTTCTGAGGTGTCACTTTTGATGAATTTCTGTTTACAACAAAACCAAAACCGTTGTTATTTACATCATATTAATGGTGTCACTTTTTTAAATGCCACTTTTTATATCGCTTTTCACAAATTATATATGTTTTCATGTTTTGTCACTTTTCTGTCACTTTTCGGGTAAAAACATTTTTATTATTATATATAAATGAATTTTACAAAACCACCGTTACCGTTCTTTGGAAATAAGAGTAGATGTAAAGATATTATATTGAGAGAACTTAAGAAACTACCGAATGGTCTAACATTTGTAGATTTGTTCGGTGGAAGTTTCTATATATCCCATTTATGTCATACAATATTCCCAGACTCAAAGATTATATGCAATAACTTCGACAACTATATGGACCGTCTCAAACATATTCCAGACACAAATAATATATTGAAAGAGTTAAAAGAAAAGATACCTATAGGTAAGATGGAACGTATACCATTAGATAAGAAAAATATTGTGAGAGAGGTTTTGAAAAAAGCAGAATATATAGACTGGAATAGTATATCTGCTAGACTATTATATAGTGGTGCTATAAGAGTTCATGACATTGAAACACTTATGTCAAAAGTTTTATATCTTAACTATACAAATGTTTTCAAAGAGGACATAGAAAAATATATTGAGGGTATAGAGTTTGTGAGATGTCATTGGACAGAGTTGTATGAAAAATATAAAGACAAGGAAAATATTTTCTTTATAGTGGACCCGCCGTTCTATAACACATGGGATTTCAATACCAAGTAGACTGGACTTTGAGAGACTCTTTAGAAACTTTAGACGTTATACATAACCATCCATGCTTTTACTTTACATCCGATAAAAGTGGTTTGGAAACCGTTATGAGATGGTTAGAGGACATACATGACTATGAGTTTATATATGACAAGATAGAATATGAGAGAGGTCCTATAAACTGGAGAAAGTGTCACAATAAAGAAATTTTATTAGTAAGTAAATGTGGTTTGAAATAGGACTACTTGTTTTAGGTTTTTTCCATTGTGTCATTTATTTATTTGACGTGGCAGAAAAGTACAGAGAATATGAAGATGAACCAATGCCTGCAAATGTTCAGTATATGTACTCGTAAGAGATATTTTTATCTAATATTAAATGGACGCACAGAACTTAGCGAATGCACAGCAACCTGGACAACCAAACCCAGAGAATATTCCAAATGAAGTTAGAATACAAACTGCAATGGCAAACTATGGTCAAGTGCCAACAGATGTACAAATGCAAACTGCCATGTCAAATGACGCTGCGTTAGGTTTGCCACCATGGTATGCAAATATGAGATGGAAAGAGTTTTATACAAACCCTGAAGTGGGATATAAACAACTTTATGCAGATGACGCGAACACAGGAGTTGACCCAGAATATGTTTTCTACCAGAGGAGAAACAGAATGTATGAGCTCCAGTTAAAGAATGCTATGGAACTCAACAGGAAACGTAAGAGACTAGGTGGACATTAGATTTTTACTACTAGTAAAATGGGTTTCTTCAGTAGTATTGGAAACTTCTTTCGAAATGTTGGAAGAGGTATATGGAATGGAATAAAATCTGTCGGAAGAGGAGTATGGAACGGTGTCAAAAATATTGGTAAAAGAGTAGGTCAGTTCGTTGGTATTATACCTAAAGACCCTGAACCAGAAGAGCAAGCTCCTGTTATACAACAGCCTGAACCTGCACCACAGTCTAGTTGGCAACCAAATCCAACACCTCAACCGTATTAAAAAATTATATTTTTATCGTTCGATAGTAATTGTATATGAAACTAAGTTCTAAGTAAAACGCATGGTATAATGGAATTATTCTTTTTTCTTCCATCTGTAGTAAACCATACTTGAAAGTCTGAAATACTTCCACTCGGCGGTTCATATAACTTTGTAGGTTTTTCGTAAAAGTCATTCATCAGACATAAGAAAGAGTTTGCGCACCAGAAAATGAAGCATGAACAATAATAGCATCTGGGTCGAAAATATTTTCATATGTTCCATTAGGTTTTTCGACTTCATAATAGTCCGGGTGTACTGGATATGCTGCAGGCTGATTTAACATCCTCATAAATCTATACCATGCCAAGTTGTTATATTTTGTAGAAATATAAACGTTTTCTCCAAGGTCTTCTATTTTATTGATTTTAACAGTTGCATTTTTCCTGTCATAAATAATATCGAGATGGTATTCTCCTTCGTCAATGTTAAACTGGTTTGCATATTCAATATAGATATCGTTTATTTTTTCTTGAAAAGCTTGAAGAGTTGTTTCTAAGTTTATAAGCAAATTAACTTGTAAAAGTTTTCCTTGTTCAAATTTCTCATACATACGTTTTCTTTGTTATAGTATCGAACTTCAAAACCGACCGTAAATGGGAAACCATGTATGGCTTCTGAAATGAACTTTATTCTTCGAAAGCCAATAGCTTTTGTGACAGATGGGTCTCTTAACCATCTTAATGGGTAGTCAAAACGATAGCCTTCATGCTTTACGGTATCTGTCTCAAACTTTTGACCTACATTAGTAAAAAGTTCATCTAATGGTTTAGTTGTAGCAACTCTAGAATTTTCTTTTTCTATTGGAAGCATATTTTATCTATAATAAAAATGTCAAATGAAACAGCGTCTATGAGAGAAATACAACACAACCGACAACTCATTATGCAAGCTCTAAATAAGAACACAACAAAC